CGTAAACCTCCAATGGCAGCGTCCTTCGAGTCCGTCGGGTGCCAGTCTTCTGATCTCTGCCATGCGGATACCGCACCGCGGGGTGGGCACATGGGCGCCCCACGCTGGGATTTCCATCTGCACCCAGCGTGCACGAGGACAAGGGAGCGAGATCTGAGGGCCGCGGGGGGGGAGAGTACGGCTGGTTCGTGCGGTGATGTCTCGTGCGCTGGCTTCTAAAGCCAGCCGCGTAGATCAATCAACCTTGATCGATCGCAGCTTTCCGACAGCGAGGCCGATGCCGAGCAACTGGCGGCGTTTAACCTTGCACGCCAGCGCTGGGGCCACCGCCGCGTGACCCGGCAAGAACCTGCGCCAGGAGCGGGGAGGGAGGAGAGAGGAGGAGAGAGAAGAGCCCACGATTAGCAACAAGCGGTGAGACGGCGAGGACATCTCTGGTTTTCAAAGCGTCGCAGGGCGACCCTTCGCAAGACATGCCAGTTCTTGGCTGGATCAAACCCCGAGGGTCGCTGATACAGGCTGCATCAGCATGCAACTGCATGGAAACGGCGAGACATCGATGCACATCTGTGTACATAGAAGGAGGGAGGGAGGTCAGGAGGGAGTGAAAGAGAGAGAGAGAGAGAGACAGGGGGAAAAAGGAGACGTAATAACAACAGCGTGTCCACTTCGCAAGGCAGCTTTCAAGGCAACCAAGAACAGCTTCCTGTTATCAGGCATGCTTCATCGAAGCCTCGCTGGCCAGCCCCCCGCGTGCGTGGACGCCCCCATCACGCTCATGCTCCATCACGCTCATGCTGGCGAGGCCCCGCCCGTCGCGCACCAGCCGCCGTCGAGCGCCACGGTGGTGCGGTCGGAGCGCCAGCTCGCACGGAGCGCGGACGGCCGCCCTGTGGCCGTGGACCCTGGGGCGCACCATCCTCGAGCGCACAACCAGCCTGGGCCAGCGGACGCGGACAGAGTCTGAGGCGGCCACAGGCGCAAGCGGGGCCCGCGACAACGGATTGGGCCCCGCGCAGGGCGGGCGTGCACGCGCGGAATGCACCTGAAACGACCCGGGGAGCCAGTCTGGCCCTGGGGCGCACCCTCCTCCAGCGGGCGCAAACGGGACGGGAGGATCAGAGTCTGATCCTAAGACGGGAGCTGCTGACACCCCCTGAGGAGGGACTCTGCTGAGCCACACGTAGTTCGACCCCTATTATGACCCACGGGCCCACTGGTAGGGAGAAACGGAGTCAGGGAGAGAGAGCGCGGACGAGAGAGCAGAATACAAGGATCGCGCTGCATCGGCGACGTTGGCGGTCATCGGCGCAGTGGGCTTGGGGAAAATTGGGCTCCACATCGAGCCGCACCGCCGATGCATCGGCGATGCGGCGCGATCCTGCGTCCCCGTCTGCTCGGACCCCACCTTGGGAGGCCTAGAAACATCATGCCAGGGAAAGCGCGGAAGATGCGGGGTCAGAACAACTCTCGGTTTTTGTGTCCAAGCGCAATTGTGAGATGAGAAAGAGGAAAGCTGAGGGGAATGAACGCGCGACGAGAGCCGGCCACAGGGCAGAGGGCAAAAACCTGCAATGGCCCCGGACTCGGGCAAAGGGGGGAGAGAGGAAAGGGGGACAAGGGGTCAGTGACAACTCTCGGTGCAAAGAGAGAGGGGGGGGGGGCGCGCCTCCGACCGTGACCGTGGTCGGGGGCCGCGGCGCGCACGGCACGTCCTCGATGCTTCCCTGTGCGGCTCGTTCCGGGCATAGGCTCTCGGCGCCCAGCCCTTCTGGGCGACAGCACGCACAGTGTGCCGCACAACTCGCCTTTTGCCCCTCTGCTTGCTGATCTGCTTGTTGCTGCTGCTATCGCTTCTCGGAGCCTCTATGCCTGCTCGCGCTCCTCCTTGAGCGCGGCGTGCCCTTTCTGCCCCACAGGAAGCCCTGCGATAGGGTTCTTGTTGAGACGATTTGGGCGTGGGTTTCTGACACCGCGTATGTCTTTCAGCCGCGAGCGATCGCGGCTTTCTGACAGCGAGGATCGCTCGATGCCGGGCGATTCCGAGCCACTGGCGGCGTTCAACCTTGAACGCCAGCGCTGGGATCGCCGCCGCGTCGACACGGCACCAAGCTGCGCCAGGAGCGAGAAGGGAGGAGAGAGGAGGAGACAAGCGGTGAGACGGCGAAGACATCTCTAGTATTATGAGCACCGCAGGGCGACCCTTCACAAGAGATGGCAGCTCGTGGCCAGAGCAAACTCCTGAGGTCGCTGGTACGGACTGCATCAGTATGCCTCTGCACGTCAACAACGATACGTACATACATCTACGGATATCTAAATATATAAAGTGGTAGGGAAAGAGAGCGAAGAGGGAGGGAGGGAGGGAGGGAGGGAAGGCAACTGCACGCCGCCAAGGGCGGGGCATCCAATCGGGTCCCACTCGCGCAATGTTCCCGAGAAGAGCGCGCTTAGGTCCTGCGCGCTGCGGGGTGGCAAGCGGCAAGTTCAGACACGAAACCTGTTGGTAGACCCGCGAAGCTCGTATAGCAGTTTAAAAGTCACGTCGCTGCCACGCCGCATAGCGCATGATTGCAAATATGTCTCGGAGCCGGCGCGGGTGCCGGTCAGGGCGCCGTGTTTGGAGCGTATGACGTACACTCGGTTCCAGGGAGCGGCAGGTGACCGGGCCCTCGTGCTCGTGCTGCTCCGCTGGCTGGTACGGTCTGAGTCGCGAGAAGGTCGACGTCCGCGCTGGGAGTCGTCGTGGAGCGTGCCTTCCTGACTCTCATACCCGTCTTGGTTGGGAGCGGGCCGAGATCGCCAGTTATCCCAGGTCTGAGATTGGGAGGCGTCACGAGGAGGCTGCTGAGATCCCCCCGGACTCCTGGACGAACGGTGGTTTCGACCAGATTTCGGTCCACGCGAGGGGGGCGGCCACGGCTGTCCTGACTCCGCGGGCGGCTGGTGCTCTGTGGCGGAGTCGCAGCGTTGGCTGCCAGGTGTGCGTAGGTGCACGCGTCGCCCTTGGCGCAGTGGCCTGCCTGGAAGTAGCTGCAGGCGGGCACGTGGGGGTAGCGGCAGCGGTCGCCGTACGAACAGGCACCAGTTTTGGCGAATCTGTGGCAAAAACGCGCGGCGCCGCCGTGAGGCTGCTGCGAGCCGGGTGGCTGCGCAGAACGCTGGGGCTGGCGAGAGTTCTCGCTGTGAGGGGCGCCAGTGTCAGGGCGGCTGCGGGAGTCCACCATGTGCAGGAGCTTGCACGCGTTTCCCTTGGGGCATTTGCCCTTGCTGAAGGGCACGCAGAAGCCAGTCTTCGGAGAGACGATGGCTGCGGTGTCCCTGTTGCCTGTCCTCAGGTGGTACTGGTTGCGCCGCGTTCGGTGTAGCTCAAGAACAGCTGTGACTCGGTGGTGGAGCCAAGTGTAACAGCGCTCTGGTGCCCCTTTAGGAGCTTTGTTGTACGTGTTCATGTCGTCCTTCATCCAAGGATGCAACTCAATCTGTGTACGAAACAGTGACTCCATAATGTTCGGCGGAGGAAGCTCCCGGAGCTCCAGGAGCAGTTGGTCCCACTCCGTCACGAACCTTTTGAGGTCATCTCCATGCATACGTAGAGTGTTGATCCTTTCGAAATCATGAATCGTATCGTCGGCGTCGGTCACATCGTAATAACGCAAAATCTTCCAGTAGATCTGACGTCCCTTTATCATGCGACCGTGCTTGTGCTCTGTGTTCTCCAGCAATTTGATATCCAGTTTCAATTCGCTGCTGAGAATCGCTTGTAAAGCTTCCGCGAACTTCAGATCCAAACTTGCGAAATCACCGCTGTCCTGTAGATCATCCAGTGTCACACCGGGCTGTTCTGCAACACAGAAGAACTTGTATGCAGCATCTGGACGCCCAGAGGCACTGCAGAAGGCCTTGCGGACTGCGTGCTGCCACTCAAGAACATGTCCGATTCTGGGAAGACCTGGAACACGCACACGCTCGCTCTCCTTCACCGGTGTGATGGTAGCAACAGGGCTCCCTCCGATGGTGTATTGAGACTGCATGACAGTAGCACCAAGGACGTTGGGCACTGGTGAGTGCGTGCGAAAACTTGCAGCGTCGAAGTTTGCCTCCTGTGCAGGTGCTGCGGAAGCGGCCGGGGCCGCGGTCCTGCTGGCAGCTGACGGTGACACACGTCGGGCCTGTGGCTGGTAGCCAGCGGCTGGGGTTCCCCCCTGCACACCCCCCGCGTTCGAGGCAGGGGCGCCGGGAGAAGTGCGTCTGGAGGTCGGGGCTTGTGGTGGTACAGGTGTGTGCTGTGTAGCATCAGCTACGTGGGCCTTGAATTGGTTTTCGAGAATGATGTTGTCACGTTGCAACTGTTCGATGCAGCCTGAGAAACCATCAACACTCCTCTGGACCTCGCGGGTCTTGTCTGTAAGCACGGAATACTGTCGTTGAGTAGACTGGGAAAGGTCTGTAAGAAGAGAACGTAGCTGATCCATGTCGGCCTTTACGCGCGACAGCTCCTGCTGCGTATCCGCCAGGCGGGTCTGCACTTCAGATACCCGTGCCTTTCCAGCATCCCTCTCAGAGCGAAGCTCGTGTAACTGCCTTTGCACGTGGTCCGCCTCCGCACGCACGGTCCGTTGTACGGCTGCCAGTACGGCGGGGTCGTCAACCGAAGAAGGGGGCACCAGCTGGCCAGTCTGGGCCCTTACAACGCGCAGCTCAGTCACGGCCTCTTCGAGAGTCAGGACTCTGGCGGTGAGCTTTGGGATCGAATCAACTTGGGAATCAGAGAAACGCTGGTTGACAGCATTTTCGGCTTGACAGAGTTTGCCGTAGAGATCTTGTTGGATTTGTTGGGTCTCAGCACGAAGATCAGATGTAGCGGACATCGTGGCGTCACGAAGCTCAATAATCTGGCCCTGGAGAGCTGAGGGAGCCGCGCCGGCGCTGGCGGCGGCAACTGCTTGGAGTTCATCGTGGAGAAATTTGGCGCGAGTATCATTGTGGTCACGCATATGGATAAAACGTGCTTCCAAATGAGAGAACTCGGAGTGCACAGCGGCAAGCTCGGAGTGGTCTTGGCCACGTTGAGCGGCAACAGCATCGACCTTCGAAACGAGTTGACACATGACGTGACGATCCTCGTACAACCTAGCGTCGACTTCCTGCAAACCTTTAGCGAGATCCGATCGCAAGATCGCAGTCTCAGTGGCGGTTGCCCGGTGCACGAGAGCAGTCTGATGCTCCACATACGTCTGTACCTGGTCTCTTAGCTCAGCCATATCTGTTAGGGGGACGGCGGCAGGCGCAGCCACAGGTGAGCTGACAGCGCGTCTTCGTGCCCTCTGGGAGGGACTGCGGCTGTGCAAATCCTGGGCTGCAATCTGGAACTGTTCGGGGCCACGTCTGTCACGAGGCGAAGCTGCGCGAGAACGAGAAACAGTGACTTGACGACCGGCGAAGGCTGCGCCGTCGCGGGTCTGAGCACGAAACTCGAGGGCGCGGACGTGCTCTCGGACTGGCGTCACGGCACGGGTGACTGGGTTCCGTCCTGGCGCGCCGGCGTTCGCGTGACTCCCGCCCCAGCGGCGAGATCCTCCAGAGCCTCTCTGCACGGGACTTCCCTGTGGAGGCGAAAGAGCCTCCGAGTGGGCCCCCCCAGCAGGGGCCCGAAAAGTCGGGGTCAGATTTTGAGGAGGTTGAGGAGTCTGGAGCTGAGGAACTCCAGGAGCCACAGGGTGTCTCGCTCTGACAGCATTTCTGGGCGGATCATTCCGTGGCACGAGGACCTCAGCGCTCTGAAAGAGATGCTGCGCAGCACCCGAGCTGCGGTCTCCCGCTGCATCCGACACGACGGGCGACGCGACGGGATGAACGACTGACGACGAGGAAGGGGCCTGGAACTGAGGAGTACCAGGAGCGTGTCCTTGTCCAGCGTCAAGACCCTCAGTACCTGGAGAAATGGCCACACGATCAGCTCGCGGGATGCCATGCACGTCCATCAAAACTTCAATCTCCTGCTCCAAGTTGCGCGCCACGGGGTCCGCCACGCCGTCGCGAAGAGGCGCGGGGCCGAGAGGCGCACCGCCCTCCATCGCGACTGAGTGGGGGGCTCAGGAAGCGCGGAAGTTGGAGCGATTGCGTTTTGAACAGAGAAGGCTGATAACCTGTGTGAGGGGGAGGGGGACCGAAGGACCGAACCCACCCCCAAAGTGTCCGTAGGTAGACGTGATGAGGATGATGGAAGTTGTCCACCTCACCCTCTGAGTACGAGTACCTGCATCCGAGCCGAAAGGGGCGATGGATATGAGCAAGATAGGAGGAAAGTAGGGGGATTCACACACAGAAATTGCTGGACGTCGTCGACGACGACGACAAAAGCCCGACAATGACCTCGACGACGACGACCGACAACCCACACGGCGACGGAAAGCCGGGCGACGGGAACGACTGCGCCGACAGCGACTACGAGAGCCCGACCACTGCAACCACGATCGACGACGTAACCCTGTGCCCCCGATAATCGTAAAGCTCGGCCTCGCCGCCCCTCTCCCCGAACAAACTCTGTCTTGGCCCAGGGTTACGTCCCAAGACAACGACGACGGTCGACCCACGACAACGGCGACCGACAACGACCGACGACGACGCACGACTGCCAGCGGCCAGCGACCTGACCCAAGTAACTACCAGCCGGGGGGCCATGCCGCGAGAGCCTGGGCCGGCTACGACGCAGCCCCCCGAGCGCCCCTGGGCCAGCGGAGGAAGGCGGAGCGAGGCGGAGAGGGGGGAAGCGAGGGGTGGGGTGACGATAGGGAATGGCGTCACAGTGGGGGAGGGGGTGGGGGGGGGGGGGGGGCAAGGGCGGAGGCAGAGGGGTGGAGAAGGACGGGCGGGCGGTAGGGGGGGGGGAAGGAAGGGGAAGGAGAAGGGAGGGTCGGCCCTCCACATGTCGGTCGCCGACGCCCAGTTCGGCCAGAGGGGACCAGACAGCCAACGACAACGACGACCGACGAGAGCCACGACCGACGACCCTAGAGGCCTCCCAAATGGGGTCCGATTAGATGGGGTCGGAGGATCGCGCCGCATCGCCGATGCATCGGCGCCGCCGGCGTGGAGAAAATCGGGCTCCGCATCGCGCCGCATCGCCGATGCATCGGCGATGCGGAGCGATCCACCCCGATCCATCTGGGAAACCTAGAAACCCACAAACCCACGGCGACCGGCGACCGACCAGCGGGGCTCCGATCCTGAAGGGCGGGGCTGCCCGGCGCCGCGTCCGCGGCGGCCGGCGGCAGCGGCACGTCCGGCCAAGGCGCGGCTGGCGGTGGCGCGGGCCACCCTGCGGCGGGGCGACGGGCGAGGGGCTGGCCAGGCCCATCCTGGGGCCTGACGAGGACCGGTGCACGTGATAATACCTAAGGACGCGCGGTAGCATGTTAACGCTTTCCGAACGAGGTTGGCCAGCGAAAGTTGCCGAGGATGGGCCGAAGGGACAAGGATGGAATGGTAACCTTGGAAAGGGTTGACTGTGCGTCTCTTCGCCCGACAGGGAGCGGCGGAGCCAGACCTCTGGAAGGCCCGCGGAACAGGCGAGCGCCGAGGGCGAGCCACGAGGGCGTGCGCGGCCGCCTGCCCCGAGGGCTTCTCGGCGGAAGCTGGTCGGCCCACCTCGTCGCACGGCGCGCCCGCGGGCTCCGCACCTCGCAGGGAGGAGCCGGTGCGCCTCGCAGGCCGGAGGACCTAGGGGCAACGGCCGGGTCCTGAAGCCGTCTCGGGCCCACTTTTCTGGCCCTCCAGGGGCTCCCGCCCCTCGGGGCCGCTGGGGCGCCGTGGCGGTCTCAAGATCGAATCGGACCCTGACCAGCGCTGCCTGTGCCCCGTGCTCCATGCTTTGCCGAATCCTCCCCCCTCTCATGGAGGCAACTCGTGGGAGGGCTTCGTGGGAACGATCAGTGACGACTAAGCCAAATCAAGGGGCCATGAGGCTGGATCAACCCTGATTAAACCCAGGATCAAGCCGGATCAAGCAGGGTTAAGCCAGACTAGGCCGGATTAGGCCAGAGTGAAGCGGTTTTCGACCTCGGACATACCAGCGCCGACGCTGAATCTCACCTCCCAGGAGTTGCAGCCGTGTCCCCCTTCTGCCTGTCCCCTGCCCTCCTCACCTCATCCTCGTGCTCCTTCGTCCAGGGCCAAGGTTGGAGGCGGGAAGGGCACTGCCCGCCCGCGCCAGGCTCCGAGGCTGGCCTGATGCACAGCGGTCTCATTCTTGGAGGGCTCCGTGTCTGAAAAGTTACAGAACCAGCATATTTGTCCTTTTTGGTACCAGGAAACTGCACAATGCGTCCAAAGGCCTCTGGCAACATATCGACGCATACCTGCAGAGCCAATGACTGAGTCGAACTGAGGCCAACAAGTCGGTGCGAGAAATGCTACGAAGAATCACATATTGGAGATAGCCAAAAGCTTGTCGCACGGCTCCACAACATCTGCAGCGCCAGGGTTTTGTTCCTTGAGGTATGCAAGAACTTTGAACATGCCCCGCGCACCAAGCTTTTCCTTGGCATCAACCTTGTCTTTCATTTGCTCCGCCATGAACGCAAGCGCCCCCTTTACCTCGTCATCCATAAACGGATCCATTACCGGAGCGTCAAATGATTCTGCACCCGAATCCCCTCCAGCGGCGCGCACGAGGAGATGGGCAGCATACATCGTCAAGGCAACGTCGGGAGGAAAGTCTGCAGCTGTCTTACCTTTACCTTTGCCTTTGCCCTTCGCCTCGGCATGCTTTGCCAAAATGCCCGTCACCTCTTCCTGCACCTTGGCACTACTGGGAGGCCACCTAGCTTCAACAGGCATTATCATAGAAAGTGCTAAGAGGCTATCGCAAGGCTCCACCACATCATCGACATCGGGGTTCTGCTCCTTCAAACATTTGAGTACTTTGACCATGCCACGCGCACTCAGTTTTTCTTTTGCATCTGCCTTGTCTTTCATCTGTTCAACCATGAATTGGAGTGCGCCCTTCACCTCGTCATCCATAAACGGTGCGTGCGTTGGAGAGTCGAAAGATTCCGCCCCTGAGTCTCCGCCGGCAGCTCGTACGAGCAAATGTGCGGCGTACATTGTCATGGCGACACCGGGGGGAAAGTCCGCAGCAGATTTACCTTTGCCTTTGCCCTTCCCCTTCGCCTCCGCGTGCTTTGCCAAAATATTCGTCACCTCCTCATGAACTTTGTCGCTGCTGGGAGGCCAGCTCATGCGAGTTGCAAAGCGACGGCGAGCTGCAGAAACACCGAGTGGCAAGAGCCGCATGAAAGCCAGCCGAAACAGCTTGGACCGAAACGTGACAGAACGGCATGCGCACGTCTGCTCCCGAAACAACGCTTGCGCTGAAGGGTCCGGTCCTAAGGGCAGCGGCCCAACGTCCTGGGGCTTCGGGGGTGGCACGCAGGGTCACGCCCGCTGTTCCCGCGCTGTCAAGGGTCCATCCCCGCAGCAAAGGCCGTGGAAATCAGACGAGCAAGTGAGAGTGGCCGTTGGAGGCCCACGCGCTGGCATCGCCTGACCGACTCTAGAAACCCACAGTGGCATCAACACTTACCTTGCTTGGGGTTTCATCGAAATATCAATGGCACGCCGCCGTGGGGAAGAAACACCCAGCTTTCGGACAGAGACGTGATGAGCTCTCAACGGCGGCGTGTCATTGATACTCGTTTCCCCTCCCGAACGTTCACCTCCGCCGCCCTCCGCCACGCCTCTGCCCTCACCTTGCCTCCGCCTGCTCCCGAAGGCCCTCCGCCAGCTCCCGCACAGGGCGAGACGGGAGGCCAGTCCTCCGACGAGCACCGACAGAAAGCACGACCCTCGCGCAGGGACCATGGGCCGGAGCCCTCGACCCTCGACACCACCTCTGCGCCCGATTCCCTCTGAGCTGGACCAGCCTGCGAAGGCCCTGTGGCGCCCGAGGCGGGGCGAAGAAACGAAGCCCGTTGCGCCGCTTTCCACGGCAAGCCTACGGTCGTTGGAACCCTACTTGACGCTCACTCGGCCGAGGCCGCTGGAGGTACACGTCTGAAGCCTGGGACGCGCTGACACACGTGCCAGCCAGGGCAGCACATCCAACCCCTTTGCCAGCCATGAGGCAGCAGCTCCCAGGCCCGGGCCGACAGAGGGCGGACAGGAGGGCTCGGCTCAACGTGGCTCCCAAATCCGGATCAGCCAGAGGGGATCGGAGAAGACTGGCTGCAAGTCCTGGGAGGCTCCCAGGGGCCAAAACCTCGGTCCTCGATCCTCGACGTCCAAAGCCCTCGACCCTGAACCTGGAACCTCGAACCTCAAACCTCGAAACCTCGATCCTCGATCCCTCGATCGTCGATCCTCGAACCTCGAGGGGTCGGGGCAGCAGCTGGCCGGGGGCGGCGCTGGCCTCCCACCCCCAGACACGGCGCGGCTTGTCAATCGACTTCCGGCAGATTGAGTAGCACGGCACTCTCCCACCCCCAACTGAGCATCGTTTGACCGATCCCCATCTCCACTGACATGACCTTGGCCCCACTGGCCGATTTACCCCCATAGGTGGGGATACATGCTTTTCCCTGCGGGCTTCGCAGAATCAATCCCCACCTGAGCCGAGAAGGCTCGCAACTGAGTTTCGATTTGCGCGAAATCTATACTTTCTTTGGGGCCTGGTCGGCCACCCCCAATGCCTCCATGCAAAACACAGCCTGTCGGAATCGACAAGGAAACAGTCTCCCAACCCAACACATTCACATTGACAAGTGTTATCCTGGACCGTTTTTTTCTGTCAGAAAGCGTGTCCTGGGATGTTTATCTCGAGAAACTTGAGCGTCTTCAAAAATCTGATTGCCGTAAGAAGAGTTACAAATCATCGTGAGAAAGATAGTTCTTCAAAGTATTAACCGACATCGCCACCACCAGCACAATGTGGAGAAAGTAGCCATCGTTTGGATCCACCTTGTCGAATGGTGGGGTGCCACCACGATTGGACAATCCTTTTACTCGGCGGCAGGCCAAGGGAATGCCACTGAATCGGCATCTGTCCACAACATATGGTGACGTATCAAAGCCCGTACATTAAGACACTCCCCGAATGCAGCGCCGCGATGATTGGCATTCGAAGGAGTCCGTAGGACCTTCTGCTTTTGCCAATGCAAGGGTTTCGTCCTGAACTGAGCGCGTCGAAAACGAAGGCCGTAATCCTAACAGCCTTTCCACAATGAGAAGGGCCTTCTTGTCATAAAAGTATTGCGAACAGGCTCTCAAACAGAATGGCAGAAAACGAACATTGCCACGCTCGTGGCCTCTAGAACTCGAAATGCGATCCACTGATATCGCCATTGGATGGTGGCCGTAAGAAGAAGGTCCGTTTTCCGTTGTTCATCCCAGATCCATGCTTGCCGTTCCCAGGCCCGAGAACGGGCCCCAAAAGCCGAAGTGGAGGAGAAACGCCAGGATTGAAGAAAGAATACGTCCTCGGAGATCTGGGAGCCTGCCGCACGTGGCACACGAACCCCTTGTCCCGCCTTCCAGCGCCCCCGCGGACGCAGATCGAGCTTCTGAGTGCGGTACTGCCCGATCTAAGAACCCAGACTACGTGTCTAGGCTCTCTGGCGCCCTAGATTGCCCAGCAGGGTGGCGTTGGAGCGCGTCTGGCCTCCGGCCAGCTCCAGCCCCGGAGGCACCCGCAGCGGCGACGGCGGGGGCACCGGCGCGGACACCAGCAGGGCGCCGCCCGCAGCACCCGAGGACGGGTGCGGACCGGCCTCGGGCCGCGCGGCGCGAGGGCCGCCGAATGGCCGCCGAATGGCCGCCGAAGGCGTTCGGCGGCCCCCGGCGGCCACCGCGAAAGCCGCCGAAGGCCTCGGGCCGCTCGCGCCCGCGCTCGTGCGCCAGCGCTGGCCCGATGGGACAGGCTGGCCTCAAGCCCGTCGGGCTTCGCGCGCCCCCAAGACCTCAGGGCGTTGTCTTTGCCTGCTCGCGACGTGGGCACCCCTCCCCCCGGGAGCCGCCGCTGGGACCAGCTTTTCTCTACGGGTCGTTGGCTGCCAGACGACGACGACGACGACGACGACGACGACGACGGCGACGACGACGACGACGACGACGACGACGACGGCGACGACGGCGGCGGCGGCGGCGGCGGCGAAGGCGAAGGCGAAGGCGAAGGCGGCGGCGGCGGCGGCGGCGGCGGCGGCGACCGCGGCGGCGACGGCGACGGCGACGGCGGCGGCGGCGGCGAAGGCATCGACGGATCTCGTTCTGGAGGCCTCATGGGGGCCCGCCGAATGGTCCCAGAGGCAGGCCCGAAAACGGGGCACGCTCCAGAACCTCAATCCTCGAGCCTCGGCCCCCTAGTAACCAGTAACCATCCTCGAACTGGCCGCGGCGGCGGCGGCGGACCCCGCCACACCGCGTGACCGCCGCACACGTTCCCCCCACGGCTGGAGCCCGGCGAACCGGGGGCGGCGCAGCGTCGGCGGGAGCCACGGCGTGGCCTCGCGGGGGACACCGTCGTCGCCGTCTTTGGAGGCCGCACAAGCTGGGTCCGAAGAGGTGGGGTCGGAGGATCGCCGATGCATCGTTCGAACACCGGCGACGTCGGGATGGAGACGCGCCACATCGTCGATGCATCGGCGATTCGGCGCGATCCTCCGACCCCATCTTCACCATCTCGGGCCTCTTGAGGGCGCTTCCCCAGGCCCCTTGAGGCCGCAACAACCAAAAACTGTTCGGAGGTGAAGAAGCGAGCCAGGCGGGCCCCAGGGAGCCCACGTGCACGAGAAATATTGCAACGTCAGGGTAGAGGGTCCTGCACATCTTCGAGTTCGTCGTCCTCCTCTTCCTCCTCCTCCTCCTCCTCCTCCTCCTCCTCCTCCTCCTCCTCCTCCTCCTCCTTCTTGTCATCATCCCCACGACCACAATCATGAATCATCATCATCATCATCATCATCATCATCATCATCATCATCATCATCAGCAGCAGCATCATCATCATCATCATCATCATCATCATCATCATCATCATCAGCATCAGCAGCAGCAGCAGCATCATCATCATCATCATCTCATCTCATCCTCATCCTCATCCTCATCCTCATCATCAGCAGCAGCAGCAGCGGCAGCAGCATCATCAGCATCAGCATCAGCATCAGCATCAGCACCAGCACCAGCACCATCATCATCATCATCATCATCATCATCATCATCATCAGCATCATCATCATCATCATCATCATCATCATCATCATCAGCATCATCATCATCATGAGCAGCATCATCATCATCAGCAGCATCAGCATCATCATCAGCATCATCATCAGCATCAGCATCGTCATCGTCATCATCGTCATCATCTGCATGTGCATCATCATCACCCTCATATTCTTCTTCATCTTCATCATCAGCAGCCTCATCCTAAGCCTCATTATCATCAGCATGATCGTCTACATCATTTTAATAATCATCAGCATATTCATAATGATAATAAGAAGAATAACAACAACAATAATGATAAGCGTGATAATGATAATCATCATCATCATCATCATCGCCATCATCATCATCATCATCATCATCATCATCATCATCATCACCACCATCATCATCATCATCATCATCATAGTCGTCGTCATCTTCATCGTCATCGTCGTCGTCGACTTCACCATCGCAATCATCATCATCATCATCATCATCATCACCATCACCATTAGCAACATCATCATCAGCATCAGCACCACCGGCATGATCATCATCATCAGCATCATCGTCATCAGCTTCTTCTTCGTCAGTATCAGCATCAGCAGCATCATCAACATCGACAGCATCATCAGAATCGTTGTCATCACCGTCGCCATTATCATCATCATCAGCATCATCATCAGCATGATCATCAGCATCGTCATCATACTCCCCATTATCGCTATCAGCCGCAAAACCGTCATCACCAGCAATGTCGTCGTCATCGCAATCGCCATAGACATCACCTCATCATCGTCATCAGCCGACTTAGCATCAGCATCATCGTCGTCATCAAACTCATCACGATCATCGACAGCATTATCCTCGTCACCACCATCGTCGTCGGCGTCACCATCACCATCATCATCACCACCACCATAATCAGAATCATCATCATCTGCATCATCGTCATGATGACCACCACCAACACAATCATCATATTCATCATCATACTCTTCATCATCGTCATCAGCATCAGCATCATCATCATCGGATTCATCATCATCATCAACAGCATCATCCCTATCAGTCTTAATATCTTTGTGGCCATTACCACGCTCATCACCAGATTCCTCACCATCGCAATCACCATCGCCATCACCACCACCATCGGTTTCATTGCCTCATCGTCTGGATCATCTTCGTCGTCGTCCGCCTCCTCCTCCTGATAATTGGTAGCTGACAGCAGATCTGTTCAGAGAACTGTCTCTTTTCAGCGCCGCTCCCATTCGCCACGACAATCTCCAACACCTAAACGGATGGAGCGCGGTCGGTTTCCAAACTGGGTCTCTCGCATCAGCGCCGCGTACCGTCGTCGTAAACGTGTTCAACTGCTACACGGGCAGCTAGCGGTTTGTCTTGTAATTACAAATCACAATATCCCTCCCGCCAGTACTTGATGCAAGCACAACATAAGATAGGATATGAATATGCGTCTCCGTACTCAGGCTAAAACGTGAGTAGGTGCGTCCACCGTCCCGCCCAGCTTATGAACCACAACCGCCACGGGCGGAAGGGACAGATAATTCATTACCACCCTAAATCTCACATCCTCGCCTATCTGATTTTCACACCGGAAAAAGGAAATGTTGCTGAAGAGTGCGTAGTAAGTTCTGAAGCAAGCCTCCAACATATTCATGAACATGCCTGTCGGCTCGACCGGCCAAAAGCCGCCCGCACACCGAACAAGACCTATCACGGTATCAAATCAAATCTTGAACCGCAAATCCGCCGGCCCCCTTGTGGGGCCACCAGGCTGTAGGCCCGAGGTTCGCAGTTTCCTGTACCAGTTCCATTTCCCAGTTTCACTGTTACAGTTCTGTGTTTTGCTGCTTACTGTTCCTTGTTGACTTCATGCTGCTTACTGTTCCTTGTCGATGGACCGCGCGAGGGGAGGAGGCCCAAAACAGACAATGTTACCACGGAGAAATCGTATTGTCTGAATTGCTAGGGTGGGTAAAAATAGGCACCCCTCACGCAGATCGGCGGGGTCAGGGTCCAAAAACAAAGCGGATTTGCCACATTTCTACAAGTCGGCGGCACCGCTCATGCAGGTCGGCGGGGTCAGGGTCCAAAAACACATAGGATTTGCCACATTTCTGAAATTCGGTGGCACCCCTCACGTAGATCGGCGGGGTCAGGGTCTGACATTCGGTGACACCCCTCACGCAGATCCGCGGGGCCAGGGTCCAAAACCAAAGGGGATTCGCCACACGTCTGACATTCGATGGCACCCCTGACGCAGATCGGCGGTGTCAGGGTCCCAAAACAAAACGGATTTGCCACATGTTTGAAATTAGCTGGCACGCCGCATGCAAATCGGCAGGGTCAGGGTCCAAAACACACCGGATTTGCCACATGTTTGACATTCGGTGGCACCCCTCACGCACATCGGCGGAGTCAGGGTCCAAAAACACACGGGATTTGCAACATGTTTGAAATCCGGTGGCACCCCTCACGCAGATCGGCAGGGTCAGGGTCAAAAAACACATCGGATTTGCAACATTTCTACAAGTCGGCGGCACCGCTCACGCAGGTCGGCGGGGTCAGAGTCCAAAAACACATAGGATTTGCCACATTTCTGAAATTCGGTGGCACCCCTCACGTAGATCGGCGGGGTCAGGGTCCAAAAATACAAAGAACTCGCCACATGTCTGACATTCGGTGACACCCCCTCACGCAGATCCGCGGGGTCAGGGTCCAAAAGCAAAGGGGATTCGCCACACGTCTGACATTCGATGGCACCCCTGACGCAGAACGGCGGTGTCAGGGTCCCAAAACAAAAGGGAGCGGCGGCACCCCTCACGCAAATCGGCAGGGTCAGGGTCCAAAAACACATCGGATTTGCCACATTTCTACAATTCGGCGGCACCCCTCATGCAAATCGGCGGGGTCAGGGTCCAAAAACACATGGGATTTACTACATTTCCGACATTCGGTGGCACCCGCGACGCAGATCCGTAAGGTTAGGACCGAAAAACAGGTCCCGACACTACTTCACGGCGGCGCCCAGACCTCACGATTTAGCTCTTGCATCTCCCATTATCCGAGACAGGGGGCCGGCGGCACTGGGCGAAGCCCTTACGGATATATCAAAATGGCAAATCAGATCTTCAGCAACAAATACCAAGATGACACATCGAATCTTGATGCGAACATCATCAAATCACTTGAGAGGGTGCACTCATCTTCTCTTCACCTGAGAGGGCGCACACACATCTCCTCAGCCAACCAACGTAAACACTAAGCTGGTAGCAATATCAATGCAATCTCTTCCACCACCCAACGTAAACACAAAGCTGGTGATGAAATCTCAGTAAAAGTCTCAACCATCCAACATCAACACAAAGTTGGTAGTGAACCCTTATCGTACCTGAGCTGACTTGATGATGATGTAGGCGATGTACGTCTTGATACTCGAGTCCAGACTGCAGCTCCTGCTCGCGTCTGCGTCCAGTTTCAGACACCGGCCCAAGCAAGTGGCCGAGCGCTTGTCCTTTCTATAGATGTCTGCGAAGCTGCTGCCCTCGAATCTGCCACTCTTGATGCGCATCGATCCCAGCGTAGCCAACCACTGCCTCAGGAGAGCACTGCCCCCCAAATACATCTGCCCATCCTCCGTAACCTCGTCGGAGTACGACTCCACCTCAAGATCAGCCTTCAGGCGTAGCGCGGCTGCCTTTAGCTGTGCCTGCCTGGGCACCTCCGCCCTGGAAAGGTTGTCGCTGCTCGAACTGTGCACCTCCATCGGTGCCATGCCGAAATCCTCGCCGTCGCTCTGCGTAGGCTGCATCATGTAGATAAACACGATGACTCCCGCAATGATCGATACCAATGTCACCACCGTAGGAGACATCGAAAGAGAAACCCCATGCACTGCAAGTGCACAGAATTGAAGCAGCACCACCATTTGGTCAAGCATCTGGATGGTTCGCTGCGCACCACTCCAATCCACTGGGTAGTTGCCCATCGCATCGCCCATGTAGAATGTTTCGACATACTCGGTATCGTCATAGTTCTCGTCATTGTCATCGTAGAAGCATTCGTCTACGTGGATGTACGTCTCCACCGGCCAGGTAGATATCTCATCGTTCCCATCGGTGTCGTCACACAGCTCCTGCTTGACATACTTAGCCATCTTCGCGTTCAGGTCATTGACCTCCTTGCTGGGTGCATCCCTCTCTGGTCCAACAAGCTTCCGCCCGCGAATTGATGGCGCTCTGTCATCAGGCCCAAGAGTCCACAAATTAGATATCAC